GATGGCTAACGCTAATCATAAACTTTATAAGAAATGATCTGCTGCATGCCGATAAAGAAAGATTGGAGAGGGGTTAATGAGCCATTTAGATTTCTAGCAGCAAATAAGAAAGCGATGAAATTTACAGATGATGAAAAGAAAGGCTTCGCAAAGAGTTGGGAAAAATCTGCGGAGGAATCATTGAGACTTCTTCAGCACATTAAAAGCTGTAAACCTCATGAAATAATTGATACTATCTCGCTCAATAATGCTAGACAAACAATAATGATCCTTTGCGAACCTCTCGCAGAGATAATTCGTAATATCCAAGAAAATATTGCGGAAATTAAAAAGTTAAAAGAAGAAATACAGAGGCTTGACATAACCGATAAGGAGCTTAAAAGCAAACTGTATATTCCGTATATAGAGCTTGAGGTGAAAAAAATGAAACAACCCAAAGTTGTATGCACAAAAATCATTTGTCGAATATCAGTTATTCAAGAAGATTGCCATGTTAAATGGAAATGGTTGAACACATTTATGCAAAAGCATAACGGAGTTATGATGTTTGGAGTGTGCAAATCTTGTGGCTGCCATGCGAAAAATCATAAAGCAATTTTTTATAAAAGTGTATCTAGTCGTATAATTAAAATTGATGAAAATATAAAAGATAAAATATCAAAAAATAAATTAGATCAAATTGACATTCAAGACCATATAAAAAAGCTTCAAGAAAGGATCGACCGGTTAAAAGTGCATCAAAATACGGTTGAAGATACTATGATTAAATTTACACACTTTTTAAAACGAAATGCAATAGTTGCTTTTAATGATGCATATGTAGAATATCTTAATCACATCGTACATATTGAGAAACAGAAGATTGATGATACTTCTGAAGAATACAATAATGAAATCCTTAAAGGGCTAGAGGAAATAAAAAGAAATTATGAAAAAAATGTGAAAACTATTGATGCAAAATATGAAGAAAAGGTGAAAGTTATTAATGCAAATGAAAAAAATAAACCCTCTTTATACATGCTCACTTCCGAGGATATATTTAAACTTGAAAAACAGTTGTATAGCATATCAGGCATCGGTAAATATTTGCAAGATATAAAGAATGAAGAGAAAAGAGCATTCAGGTATAAAGAAAAACGCCATAGAAACATGCTGAATACCTTAACAGATATCTTTAAAAATTCATAGAAAGGTTAGCTTTTTTTTTTTTACAATTGTAATCTCGAAATGAAAGTTGACCGAATGCATGTAATACATTCATTACAGCAAGACGTGAAGACTCTTATCAAATATCTTGATTTATATGTTAATTTCAAAATTTTTCTGTGCATTTACTTTCTATTATTGTATATTGATGCTTAAAATAAGTTATTTAGTAGAAATTTTGATTAGCTTTAGTCAAAAATTATATTATTTCTTGACAATCATTTTACTCTTTGCCAAACACTAATCCTAACTTTAAATCAGTG